ATTCCTAAGGTTCCATATCCAGTAGCGGCTTGCTGCGATAATGACAATTAACCTGAGACTTGGTATGACTACTTATCATATAAGTAATAATACGCATATTCTTTGTTACATATGTATAACAAAGAATATGCAAATTTAAAAAAGAATTAAAAACTGTGTCAATTTTTAAAGTTAACAATGGAACATATTTTTCAGTTTTTCGAGACTACCTCTGGGAGTTGGTTAAAACGTAATATCAAGAGTATGGGTCAATAGATTGTTTTTTCTTAGATCTGTTCACTCAAAACTTAGCTTAGACAATTTTCAAGTAAATGATAAAAAATGTTATTCTTTATATTGTTTATATGGATGAAAAGGAGTATTGAAGTCCATATGGTAATTTGTGTACCATGGATGAATGAACCTGAATCTTCTCATGAAAGCAAGTTATAAAATAGATTAGCTTGGATATTTAAAGCTGCCTCACACAGTAGTAGAAAAGAGTTTAAGTGTGTATTGGAATGTAGTATCCCTCTTGTTGATCAGTTCAAAAGTAGACATGAATTCTCTTCAAAGCAAAAATACTGGTCCTGCCAAAATTAATAACAGGGTTTTCATGGATATTTTGTTTAATTATGGAAATATATCACTTGCGTTCGCAGAGACTCGCTTATTTACCTGATTTCACACAAAGTCGCCGGCTCAAAGTAACTTATGTTAAAAGCATACAAAAATTGTACAATAGGCTACTACAACAATTAAGATTTTACTGTTGAAAAAATCAATTTTCAACGATGCGAAAAGTTTTGACAATTTGAATAATAAAAATATTCAACAAGGCTGACTTACCATACATCAATGTAACATTACTTGTACTATGTGCAAATAAATTCTTATTATTGCTGTAGGAATATACTTGGACAAGTCAAGCCACCATTGTTTTCTCGACTCTCGTTATATACTTGTACAAACTGACATTTTAAATAAATAATTAGATTAAAACGTAAAAAAGCAGGGAAGGGCTACTTTTATTCGCTCTCCAGATTCACAGTAAACAAAGTATTCTTACGGTTTATTTAGTAATTTCATTCAATTTGTTTGTGCAAGTCCACTGTGTAACAATTTTATGGAAATTTTTGTAATTTATTATCACACTTATTATGTTGCTAGTTAATTTATTTAAATTTACAAATCAACTACAACCAAATATGTAGAGCTAGTAAAAACTGTAAGTGTTACAAAGGATTTACTTGTAGAACTTTTTTCTCATAAAATCACAAATAGAGTAGTCAAAAGAGATAAATAACCAGATTTTATTATATTAAACTTACTATTTTAAACTCGTATTTAAGAAAACACTATACTGATGCCAGGTGACGGTCAAAGTTACACTGATACCACTAGTCGACAGAAAAACTTCCATACTGATAACTCATTAAGTTAAAAATGATAACCTTTTGTTTGATACAACAAAATCTTTTCAAAATATAAAAAGTGTAAGTTAAATTAGTATATCACAAGTATACAAATATATATCAAGTATACAATAACCTACTAATTTCATTGTTTAGTGCCAGGTAAATGATTGTAAATGCTGTATAAACAGTACATATATCTATATGTGCTTTAATTTCCATTGTGTATTGTTTATTGTTAAGCATTATTATTATTATTACTGTTATTATTATCATTATTATTACATAGCATATTATTTTTGTGCCACTCGTGAACTTATTTTTCTTAAAATCAAAACCCTCTGCTGTCGACCTCGCCGGCACTTACAATCAGATGAGATGGAGGTCAAGTGCGCACTTATATGTTGTAAAAAAAAAGAAGGTAATGAGTTAAGTCTACTTTCTAGACTACATCCAATAGAATTCAGAAAATTCAAAAAATCTGTTGACACATAAAATGTTACCTTTTTGTAATATCAGTGAAAATCCAATTACGCAAGTTGAAATATATTTTCAATGGTTGACGGTACACAAAGAAATGAGAACAATAAAACATTTAATCATTTTCAAATGTACACATAACTCATGATAAGTAAAGGATCATAGCATAAACCGTGTACAATTCCCTACCAGTTGCAAAACACAATGATAAATAAAATTTGCACAACCATAAGTCATTTGGAGTAATATTCGTAATGATGTTATCAAATGTGATATTTTGAGACCAAATTTGTAAAAAAAATTCTCAGAAGTTGCAATATGTTTGAAAGTACATAACTGCTTCAAATACAAAATATCATAGCCTACACTTCTATCATTCTATGGTGGTTACATTAATCATTTAGTCTAATTCATAGCTGACAAAATTTTAATTTCAGAAAATATTTCAATGAAGTGGTTATTTTGAAAAGTAAATATTATATTTAAATTCTTTAAAATAGTTAACATTTTAAATTCATTTTAAAATAGTTTCTTTTACATTCGTTTTTGTGTCTTCATTGTGTATTAATATGAAACAAATTATTCAATTTCATTCAATCACATTGTGACAAAAAATTAATATATCTAAATTTAACATTGTTGAATAAAGGTTATTGGTCCAGACTAATTAACAGGTTTATTATGAATCCATATTTTTGTAACTTTATTATAAATACTAGATATAAGAGATTTTCAAAACAATGAAACATGAACCACATCCTGTTCCCTCCAGGAATTGACACAGCAATAAACAAGATGTCAGGCAAAATATAACTGGTGTATCGCTTACCTCTTGCCGATGTAGCCAGGCAATTTAGACAAGGCATCTTCAAGATTCCTACATGAATACAAAATCAATAGAATTATAAAAACTGTACTCACATGCTGATTTAAGGCTTCTTGACCGGTCAGCCGACGAGGAGCAACACAGACGAACAAAGTGTCTTCCTTAAAACCTATGTTTACAACAAAGCCGCTAAGGCTACACGCGAAAAAGTGATGCGTAAAACTAATGGATACGAAGTAAAGTCAACTTTAAATAATTTAGTCCGCTATGTACTACAACTATTAATTATTTGAGAATAAACTGTCTTTGTTAATGAACAATATTAATGCACTATGAGTCCATAAATAAATAAAGAAACGTATTGCCAGATGCAGATAGTAAAACGCAATTTTATCGTGAATATACGAAAGTAAAAGTTCGTTATCAAGAAAGTCCCAGAAATGTAAAGTCCACTTAATCGTATTTCACATAAAAACTTTATTTCTCACATTAGTTTCAAAATTTTCAGACATAATTCGTGAAAAAACTGAAAAAAGGCGTTGAATTGCTGCGGAGCGGCTGTCAATTTTTCTAAGGCCTAAAACACAGACCAATAACAAGCCTAGAAACAAGGCTTCCAGCGCCATCTATCGCGTTTAATCTTATTTTTTTAAGAAGTGTTCGTTACATTCATAATTCATTCACTAATTTGAAAAAAATGAAGCACGTTACATCTGCGATCAATATCATCATCAAGCACAATCGAACTTCACAAATTGGGTTTTGAACTGTTTTTATCGCACGTGATACAGGGTTGAGTTTAAATCTTTAGTGTCAAGTTTGATGTCCTCTTGACCCTGTACTAGTAATGCCAGTAAAGTTGTACGGTCAACAGTGTATAAAGTTTGGACCACAAATTAGGAAGATTTTTGGTGGCTGTCAGGATGGCTGGTCGCCTGTCGCATCTGCCACTGAATGTATATTCAAGAATTGCTACCTATTTGTTACTATTTGCTACCTTTTCCAAATAATTGCTACCTAAAATATTCTAAGAAATCAAAAAAAAAATTGATCAGCCATTCTGACGTCAGGATGGCTGGTCGCCACTTTGATCAGCAAGAAGGGAGCAGATTTCCAGAAGTATGTATTACCAATAATTGCTACCAATTTGCTACCTTCACGAATTAAAGGTATACGCTTCTCATCTCCATTAGTTAAAAAAAAGAATAACCGATTGAAATTTTTACGACAAAGTGCCTGATTAAATTAAAAAAGCAAAAGTTTTTAGTGCTTTATTGCCATAATAAAAAGGGCAGGCGTTGCTACTTAGTAAAATTTTCAATCGTTTATATTTTTTAACTAATGTAGTAGGAAGCGTTTACCTTTAATTCATGAAGATAGCAAATAGATAGCAATTATTGGTAATACATACTTCTGGAAAATCTGCTCCCTTCATGCTAAACAAAGTGGCGACCAACCATCCTGACGTCAGAATGGCTGGTAATTTTTTTTTTATTTCTCAGAATATATCAAAGGTAGAAATTATTTAGAAATGGTAGCAAATAGGTAGCAATTCTTGAATACACTCAGTGGCAGATGCGACTTGCGACCAGCCATCCTGACGGTCACGATTTTTTAACTGTTCTCATCATAGGGTTTAGTGCCGAGTTTCAATTTCTATTTAAATTAAACTTTTATCTGTCAAGCTTGACATGTCTCTTGACTTTCCCGTGCATATACCATCAATATGGTACAGGGTACAGGATGATGACGCAAGTGGTCATTTAGAAACTGTGATGGCGCAAGTGATCGGTCATTTAGAAACGGTGATAGTCCAGACAACACGCGCTTGCGATTTAGAAACATCAGGTTCGATTTCCGACTCGTTAGTGACTTAGATCATGAAGATGAACCACTTTAGCCGGTTACCCAAACTCGTATAGAACACAGAAATCCCTAATGATGTTTGTGCCAAAGTACGTAAGTACATACATTAAATATGACCGGCAATCGAATGTATATGTAACGTACGTTACAAATACCCTGGGTCTATTTGTCTACAGTACTAGAAAGGGGGTCCTTTCTAGTACTGTAGACAAATAGACTAGGGTCTATACGGCGGCGAGTACACGTGAAGTTAATAATACATAAGTTGATAATGGTTTCGTTAGGATGATAATTTCGTAATGACTGCCTATCTGCATTCTTGCCTCGTTACACACATTTGTAATATCCGTACGTGCTTTTAACATTTAAATAAATACGATAATATTTATAAAATTGTATATTTCAATAGCATGTTACAAAAACTGGTATAAAAACAGAGTTTGTCGGTCTGTAATTATAGTCGTTAACAGTTAGTGAAAACTGTCAGAATGTCATCGAAAACTTTTCTTCTTTGCGTCGTCATTGTGGCTATTTTGGGCGTACGTATTTAATTTAGAGTACTTATTCTTGTGTGTACTTATTGTTATGTATGGCGGACTAATACATAAACCACCTGCTATAATTTATTTACCTAATTTAAAAACGTCTTGTTATGTAAAGCCAACGATTGTCAGTTGGTGTAAATTAGATAAAATGTATTTAAATACTACATATTTTATCTATCTATCATTTAATGAATGGAGAATATTAAATAAATCTCTTTCTTCCAGATGCATTCAGTGTCTAGCCAGTGCACCACGGGGCTTATGCCTTCGCAATATCCGAATTACCAGCAACCGATTATCATCTCTAAAAAAAAGGACAATGATAAGGACCTAATGCCCCTTCTTCTACTTATGCTTTTGGGAAACGGGGGATTGTGCTGATAGATAAATTGTTGAATATCTATATATTTTTACTAGAAATACTTTTTTACCACAAATTATGAAAATTCTATTATCAGTAATAATTAGCACACCGACGAATTACATTGTTAAGCGTTTTATTTACGGGTTTAGTGCCGAGTTTCAATTCCTATTTTTTTTAATTGTATGTTTTGTCCCCATTTATTCAATGTATTGAAAATAAACTAATAAAATAGTTACTGCTTTGCGTAAATTAATTACTCATTTCACACGTACTTACGTACGAGTAAACGAGTACAATATTCAGGCAATATTGCCATTGCCACGGTCTTTTTGACAAACTACAAATTTAAAAAAAAAACTGACATTTTAACAAAATTCTAACACGACCCAATTTTATATTTTTAGTGGAATTGAAGAAGAAATCGGTCCAAGAAATGGTTTTAAAAGGGCTTCTAGACGATTAAGAACATCATGACATTGAAAAAAGTGTAAATTATCACAATATGCTTTGTTTACGATAAAACATACGTTGGAAATGAAGTCCATATTTTTACTGAAAGATAGTATCTTATCTCATTTGTAGATAAATAAACTAAATTGTCTCTCTGTGGACTGTGTCGATTTAATTGATGTTTACTATAAGTGATGGTTAAGAAGGACACGTATGTGCGAAATGTCTAATTTGACGTGCAACGAAGAAGATGAAGCTTTTCCACTTCACGAGTGTGTGTTCCTCGGGGATGTGCGTAAGCTGTCCTCTTTACTACGAACGCATGATGTGTCGCGCAAGGACAAACACGGCAACACCGCGCTGCACCTGGCAGTCATGCTGGGCCGGAAAGAGTGCGTGCAGCTGTTACTCGCACACGGCGCTCCCGTTAAAGTAAAAAACCTTACCGGGTGGTCGCCACTCGCTGAGGCCATCAGCTACGGCGACCGTCAAACCATATCTTCTCTTGTGCGAAAGCTAAAGCAACAAGCTCGTGAACAGATGGAGATTGGCCGGCCAGATCTCCTTAGGGCACTGGCACAAATAGATGACTTTTATATGGAGCTGAAATGGGATTTCCACTCCTGGGTACCACTAGTCTCTAGAATATTACCATCAGATATCTGTAAGATCTATAAGTCTGGGCCTGGTATCAGATTGGATACTACATTAGTTGATTTTAGCGATATGAAGTGGGAGAGAGGTGATATATCTTTCATCTTTCAAGGAGACAAACCTCCTGGTGAGGCACTCACTGTTTTGGATAATAAAGGAAAGGTATTTCAGCGTGTCCGTTATGAAGAAACAGAAAACGAAATAGAAGATGAAGTGGATATTCTCATGTCTAGTGACATACTATCTGCCCAAATGTCCACCAAAGGTATATCATTTGCCAGGGCTCAGTCTGGGTGGATTTTCCGTGAAGACCGTAAAGAGACAGTGGCTGGTCAATACAGAAGTGATATATACACGATTACTGGACTAGTGTTGGAGTCGAGAAAAAGGCGAGAACACCTTTCAACTGACGATCTACAAAAGAACAAGGCTATTATTGAAAGTCTAACTAAAGGAAACCCACAGAATCTGGATACAAATGGAGAACCAACCCGCCGCGCATCATTAAATCCACCCCCTGACAATGGAGTGGACTGGCTAGCATACATAACATCTCTGCCAGGACAATACCCTAGCCTGGGGAGAGAAATAGTTTACAAGGAGTCATCTAGAAACTTTAGAGCTACTATAGCTATGAGCGATGATTTCCCACTTAGTGTTGATATGCTGCTGAATGTATTGGAAGTGATAGCTCCATTCAAACACTTTGCTAAATTGCGTCAATTTGTAGCCATGAAGTTGCCTAAAGGATTTCCTGTAAAAATTGACATACCAATATTACCTACAGTCACAGCAAAGATAACATTTCAGAAGTTTGATTTCCGGCATGATCTTTCACCAGATCTGTTTGTTATCCCAGAAGACTACATAGAGGACCCTTTGCGATTCCCTGATTTATGACGTATTGATATTCTAACACTGTTTGAGATTAGTGAAAGGCCTGCATGGCGGCGAGAAACACGTCAAGGGCGTGGACGGGCATGGATATGGTCACGGCCTGCACGTGGGCGCGGAGCGCGTTGCCAGCCCGCACCGCCTGGTCTCGTTACCATCGAGTTCCCAATGCTTTTCGGCCTCGGCAGCTCCTACTCCAGTCACTGTGTCCTCTTTGTGGAGTAGCTAAATTACAAAATGTATTATAGATAAACAAAATTAGTTGTGAACTGTCTGATGTGTAGTAGTTTCAGCAGTGTTAGAATTGAATAAAAGTGTAACTTGATATATGTTTTTAATTTAGTAATTACAATTATCTACAGCAAGCTGTAACAGTCAATGTAATTATATAGTTAATTGTGTCAATAGGAGTAACAGGATGGAATCAATTGATGAAAATGTTCACTCTAGTTATATTTTGTGTTTTACAATAAGTTACTCAAATATGAATGACAGTGATGTTCTCTGTTAAAACTTCATTTGCCGTAATAATGCATAAATATTGCAATAATAATATTATTCCATATGTACAATACATGTTCTATTATATTAGAGACAGTAAAATGTATTTCCTTTTAATTCTCTATGTAAATCAGTGTTTGTAGATATGTTGTAGTATAACCCTATTGCTCATAGATTGCGTCCACAGGCATTTTGTATTATGATAACTTATTTGTATCAATTTGTATTTTCTTTACAGTCTTAGAACATAGATTCACCATATTATATGATGTGTTCATATTCTACATTACTTATACAATAAATATTGTAAATTATACAATAAATCAATTATGCCATATCTGACACATAATTATCTCAAAAATTAAAACAGGGAGTATGAAAAATATTTGTAGATTTAAAATTTGTGCAGCTACACCTTTAGTTGGCTAAAATTTATAAGACCATGACATTGTGCAATACGTAGAACACATATTCATGTGTAAAACTCTACAGCAGTTAGCTATATGAAAGCTACTGTTAGAAGTAGATTTCAATGTCCTTGTGCCTTCTGCATTTCGATTTGTAGAAAGCAAGTTAGTAGAAATTGTGCACTGTGCACGAAATATAGGAAATTTAGCATACTGGATTCATAATAAGAACCATGTACTTATAATGTTTTACTTAATCAAGTGTGATTAGCACACATAGAGTAGACACTTCAGTAGATGAAGACAGAGCAAATAGTGAATTTATTAAGTTAACAAAAACATCATTGGGGTGTATCTCGTGCAACTATTTTTAGGTCTTTTGACAATAACACTTTGATCCCACCAGGATAGATTTTATATTCATTCATTATTTTACATAAACTGTGTTTATCTGAAATTGTAATTTCTTGCCTAATTACGTATCAGTTTTATTAATTTTATCATAGTTTTTAAATACCGCTATGTATGTGTAAATGTCAGAAAGATGCAAAAATTGGATGTTGTAATAAATAGATCGATAAACACGAGTTTCTGTGTTGTTTTTTAAACACTTTGTGAAAGTAAGACGAATGGATATAAATGAACAATATTTTTGTATACCAAAAGGAAAAGCCACATTATCATTCCAAATTTTATTTATTAACAGGTAAATAATTTGTTCAATTACATTCAGTGCTAATGATTAGATATGTCATTATCAATGGTCGGAAAAAGGTGTTCCACATACATAGGTATATGTTTAGATATAGCTACAAGACGACATAGAGTTGTTAAAACCACCAAATATTAATTAATTTTTCGAATTAGGGATTCTGGAAATAGGTTTACGGTATCGTAGGACAAAAGTACTGACCTAGGAAGTCGAATTTTTTCGAAGTTGAATTCTAAAGTAATTGTAATGGTGCCATGTAAAAGTATGCAGTAGATAACTGACATGCAATATGCAGGGCGCGGTGCGGTATCTAAAGCTAGTGAGGGTGACCATTCTCGTTTCTTTTTTATTCTCTGCTGTGGTAAAAGGTAAGATGTAGCAAAACCATTTCCGGAATCTTGATTGCAAAAAGTAATTAATAAATATTTGGTGGTTTTAACAACTCTGTGTCGCTCTTTGTAGTTATATTTATACATGTATAGTATACAATATGTGGAACACCTTTTTCCGACCATTGGTTAATTAAAATTAATTATAAAAACTTTGTCGTGTTACGATTTCAATACAAAAAAATATAAGTTTGCATTCTCATTGCATTGCGTTTAACATAACACGTAAAAAATATTTTTTATCTAATCCCCCATACGTACAAATAGTAAATATTCAAACATCAAGCGCGCCTTATTCCAGGATCGTCTTAATAAAATGTTTAAATTATGACTAGAGAGGTGTCGTGAACTCGTGACTTAGTCGCGTTTAGACGGCTAGATAACATATACTCGTATATATAAATCAAGCCAATCGATAAATCCTTACAACAATACGCAAAAGTAACGCCATATTTTTTTGCTAATTTGTTGATCTTGAAACTTTTAAATTAAACCGCTAAATATCAAATACTTGTAAAAAAACTTAACGTCTGTGCGATAAGTGTAATATTTTTTTATTATTAATGTATTTAATATAAAATTATGGGCAACTTAACTAGCCCTTTTCAAAATTAATCTCTTGTATGTACTTTCTAAATAAAAGACTGACTGTCGTTAGGTTGTTGTAACTTGAACAGACTAATTCAAGATTTTTTTCAGAGTGCAATCAGATCTAAGATAGATGCTGTGATTCTCGAGTTTGAAGAATGATGACACCACATAACTTACTTCTTTACGACTGGAACCGACTTTTTACCTACATATGCTTTACACCCTTTTTCTGTCATCGGGGTAGGCAGATACAACAACCTTCTAATTGCTACGACTCTGACTCACATCTTTCGCCCCATCAACAGCATGAATACTTTCATACGCTCTCGTCAGTTAAGGGTATATTTGACCTGACCTTTCGTCAGGACGTTCTCAATTTAGAAGTGGTAAGTTCACATTTGCCTCATAAATTTTTCAACTTTTTGCCTGAACAGTAAAATTTCTATTATAATAAACCTGGAATAAGGCAATCATATAAATCCTAGTAATTGCTATTCCATGTTAACTTGGCAAGTATTATTTAGAATTGGCACCATGTGTACCCACAAACCAAAGCAATGCAATCTGAATAGATTTTATTGTTGCCCTAAGCAAATAGTGACGTTATTCAGTCTTCACAATGTTAAAGACCAACATAACTTTGCTCACAAATATGTAAAAAACAAATCTTCAAAGATTAACGCAAACCTTTGCGCGAATGCTGTGACAACATTCTCGAGGAATCCACGGTGGGGAAACTTTCTTCCATGCCCAGAGTGACCAATTTTAAAGAGACCGTAGACCGCCGAGCTGTGTAATATTTAATTTAATTATTGTCATGCCACCCGTAATTCAGTGAATACTTAAGAGTCGATACTACCTCAGCTTGAATTCAAATTTTTTCCGTACAAATACGGTTCATTTTGCTTGCGTCGAGCGGTAGGGATACTGGCTTTATTTCAGAATATTTTTTTACAAACGAAATTATTGAAAAATGTATAATCGTATAGAATACGTGTTCTATTAAATTCAGTTGATATAAAAAAAAATTGAATTAAGTTTGCGTTTTTTTTCTATGGTGAAAATTTTTAGGAATCGTGTTTTCACACCGTATAGTAATCAGTGGCGTGGCTTATTCCAGCGTGAACATGGTCGAGTTTTTGAAATTTGACTAGCCAGAAAAAAGTCGCTATTTAGTACCGACTAAATAGCGACTTTTTTTCTATTTACTCGGCTATTTAGTCGGTTCTAGTCGCAAAAAACTAGATTTAGTCGGTCCGCCGTTCAAAAGTATAAGGGTGTTTTGTCAGTGGTGGACTAAATCTAGTTTTTTGCAACTAGAACAGAGTACATAGCGACTTTTTTCTGGCTAGTCCGATTTCAAAAACTTGACCATGGTTACGCTGGAATAATTTATAAAATAATCAGTGTACATCATTGACTTACAAATAAATGGACGACGAGTCTAATACAAAAACCACGAAAAAAATGTCCCAAGTCAACCTATTTAAACGTAGTGACATGTAAAACATTAGATTTAAATTGTAATGTCATCGCAGTACTGTCTAATTTTGCTTGCTTCGTCAGTCGAACAAACGAAGACTACAGCGTGAATGACGCTCTGTATACGATTTTAACGCCCTATAAGTTCGGACATTTTTTAGCGCGGACGCGACGTCCATATAATTGTAAGTCAATGGTGTACATCCTCAATTTTACTATTTTCTTTTCAAAGTGGTCGATTCAACACTCACTGTTACGCGGAAACCATTTAAGATTGTATAGACTCTTAGAAAAAATGAAGGGCAATGATACAATTTTTATTAATAAAACTTAATAAACCATTTCAAAAATATTAAAAAGCACAATAATTTTGCTGACCTTGTTGTGGAACCTCTTGTAGCAGCTGGAAACAAAAAAAATGTAAAATATGAGTAGTCTTGTGAAATTTGCTAAAGTAGGTACAGTCAGTAACCAAATGAACCGAATTTTATGGTATTAAAAAAATATTAGAAAAGTAATTTAAAAAAAAACCAATGATTGTTAGCAATCAAGATGCAATTTCGATTGAAACTGAAATGCTTAAGAAAACAATTAAATGCACTTTAATTTCACTTAATGAGATAAAGTTGATTTCCATCTCATGTTTTAACACATTGTAATTTTGACACTGACTGTACCTCTCTTTCTACAAGAAATGTAAAGTGGTTCAATGATAATCTATAGGACTCGGTTTGTATTCTAAAGTAACAAAAAAACGTTTGCAGGGAGCCACTTATCGTTAAATTTTAAATAGCAGTAGTTGTTGTCGGTAGTTTCATCTATAGCATTTTTTTTCTGACGGTTGTTCCATTAGTATCGAAATCAATACATGAAGTACAGTTCCACACTCTCAAGCTAATGCAAATTAATTGCCCCATTATAGACAATACTACTAATACTAGATGTTTTATCTGCGATTGCAGATAAAACATCTGCGTAAAAAAGACAGTAGGTGCAAGTAGCAACGGAAATATCTAATCCTAATATATATGGATACTTGAAATATTATGCGTTATCCTTATAATGTAGCACACATATGGGCAACATGCGACCCGCGAGACATTTTGAAAAAAAAAAAAACTCGAATGAAAAAATATTAAACTAGGTACTTACACTCACAGCGACAGTGAAGCCCCAAACATCTAATCCTTTGATGTTTGCCGCCTCACTCTTTAATAATCGCCGCCACTCGGCTTACTCGATCAAAGTCTTTGATGTTTGCCGACGCCTCACGGGCGGCAAACATCAAAGACTTATTGCTTCTCAATTACTCTAAAACTAGTTTATTCCAGAATATTCCTTCATTTTGCCTATATAAGCGGGTGTATGGCCCGAACATTTGTGCAGTTCTATTCGAGCTACCGAGGTGATAACTTCGACAAGCGATATTCTAGCGAACTGTTTGAGCCATGAACTTTGTGTGCATCTTGAGTGGTTGTGTACTAACTATAGTTTGTATTGTTATTAAGTTTAAAGAACGAAAAGTTAACAAAAATGATGTCTGGTGGAAAAAAACGAAAAGTAGATACAGAGGGACGCCAGTTTCAAGAAAAATGGACTGAAGAATTCTTTTTTATTTTGCACAATGGTAAGCCTATTTGTTTGCTGTGTAATGAATCCATTTCAGTAATGAAAGAATTCAATATAAAGAGGCATTACTTAACTAAGCATACTGCGCTACACTCACTGACAGGACAATTAAGAACAGACAAAATCCAGAAGCTTACAGCAAATTTGGAGAAACAGCAACAAATGTTTCATAAACAAAGAATACAACTTGATAATGTTGTGAAAGCTAGTTTTATAGTTAGCTCAAAATTGGCAAAGGCATTAAAACCATTTGCCGAAGGAGAATTTATTAAGGAGTGTATGTTAGAAGTTTCCAGTGTTTTGTGTCCTGAAAAGAAAAATGAATTTGAAAAAATTAGTTTGTCAAGACGAACCGTAGTTCGACGTATAGAAATGATGGCTAATGATATAAAAACAACATTGACTGACCGTATGGCTGGTTTTGAATCATTTTCCATAGCATTAGACGAGAGCACGGATTTGTCGGACACAGCTCAACTGGCTATATTTATTGGAGGTGTTGATAAGGAGTTCACTGTTACTGAGGAATTGCTTGCTTTACAGCCGCTAAAAGGAACCACTACAGGGGAGGATATTTTTAATGAAGTTCAAAAGTTTGTTTTTTTGGGGGTTGATGTTGCTCGCTTCCGTAGGTTTACCCTTGAGACCCTACAAGTGACCCCTGGGTGGTGCTAAAGAGCAATAACTACTGGTGGTAGGCTTCGGCCGTGGCTAGTCACCACCCTCCCGACGCAGTCGAGTCGCCAAATGGTTTTTACCGTGTTCCGACTCGTGTTCGGGAGTTGCCATTTGGAGGTCGGGTCTGAACAGTTGCATTGCGTCTGACGGCGAGTTGTAGCTGCTTGTACTGCCACACTGAGCACTCGGTTCTGGAGGCTAGCGGGATCCGAAGCACGGTGCACCGCTGGCCGACCGTGGGAAGTTGGGGGCCCAAGTAGCGGGAAAGCCACCCGTGAAAGGCTGCCCCGCCACCCAACGAAAAATCCCGGAATGCTCCACCTTGCCGGTTGGCGACCGGAAGGGAGGACCAGGTGGCCATCTCCGGGGGGGGTTCGGGCGTCCCCGCGGTCTCCAAGCCGATTGTAACCTCGTGTGGCAGTATGAGTCTGCTGCTTGGTTGAACACGACGCAGTGCCTCGTTCAACTGCCTTCCTCCTGCCTATTCACTTCTCCAAATCCAAAAATGAAAAATTATAAAAATGGAAAAAAGTATACACAGCGGTTGCACGTCCTCCCACTAAAAGTGCACCTCACTAACATCCGAGGTCTGCACTCAAATCTCGATTCGGTCCACTACCACCTTGAAACCGACAAACCGCAGCTGCTGTTCCTCACAGAGACGCAGATCAGATGTCCGACTGACGCAGCGTACCTCAGCTACCCCGGGTATACTCTGGAGCACAGGTTCGTACCTCGTGCCGGAGTCTGTGTGTACGTTCGCGATGACATCTGTGTCAAGCGTCTCAAGAACCTTGAGGCACCGAGTTTTTCAATTTTGTGGCTTCTGGTTGACACAGGAGTTACACAAATAGTGTACTGCTGTGTTTACCGATCGCACAGTGGAGATCAGGAGACGACCAAGCTGTTCCAATATCTAAGTGAGACGTCTGATGAGATTCAGCATAGGTACCCAGCGGCGCAACTAGTCATTCTGGGGGACTTTAATGCACACCATCAAGAATGGTTGTTCCCATACCAGAAGACCGATCACGCTGGGAGAGAGACGCGTAAACTTGCGTTAACGCTAAGCTTATCCCAGCTTGTCAGTGGCGCCACTAGGATACCAGATGTTGAATCTCATACGGCTAATTGCTTGGACCTTCTGCTGACAACTGATCCGGACCGATACTCTGTGGTTGTGGAGGCCCCACTGGGTACTTCCGACCATTGTCTGGTGAAAACTGTATCCGTATACTCCCCACCCGATCAGGGCCCTAGTGGTATGAGACGGGTGTGGCGATACAAGTTAGCAGATTGGGACGAAATGCGCCATTTCTTTGCGTCATATCTCTGGCAGGCGTGCTTTACTTCAGGAGACTCGTCGAGCTGTGCTGATGCTGTAGTCGAGGTCTTGCGTTTGGGTATGGAGTATTACATTCCATACTCTGATGTACCCAATGGACCCCAAGCTCGTCCATGGTTTAACGCTAATTGTAGTTGTGCTGAAGCACGTAAACAGTCCGCGTACCAAGCTTGGGCAGATGCTCGACTACGCAAAACTCCGAGTACTCAGAACATGAAGAAAGCTTTTAATAAGGCCGCCAAGAAGTGCAAAAGCATGTTACGTAGGGCCAAGTTCGACCATGTGCGCCGCATAGGAGCCAAGCTTGCCTCTTATCCAGCAGGCAGCAAATCCTTTTGGTCCCTGGCCAAAGCGGTCGAATCGAACTTTTGTCGCCCATCTTTGCCACCTCTGCTGAGGCCGGATGGCTCGCTGGCTCATACTGCGGAAGAGAAGGCGAATCTCTTTGCCTCACTCTTTGCAGAAAATTCGCGTCTAGATGCCGCAGGGACCCTACCACCTACTTTACCTCAGGCTGGCTGCACTATGGCGCCAGTTCGCATACGCCAAAAAGAGGTACTTAGAACTCTGCGAAATCTAGACGTGAATAAAGCTAGCGGGCCAGATGGAATTCCAGCAATAGTCCTTCGTAACTGTGCACCTGAGTTGTCTCCTGTTCTCACACGCCTGTACCGCCTCTCACTTGAGACTGGTGTAGTTCCCAGATCGTGGAAGCTTGCAAACGTGCAACCTGTACCAAAAAAGGGAAGCAGAGCTGACCCTGTCAACTATAGACCTATCTCAGTCACTTCCATACTCTGCAAGACTATGGAACGTGTACTCAACAACCGTCTCCTATCGTACCTTGAAGACAACGATCTCCTCAGTGATCGCCAGTACGGATTCCGACGAGGGCGATCTACTGGGGATCTTCTTGTGTATGCCTGTCACATATGGAGCGAGGCTATAGAAAAGCAAGGCGAAGCACTTGCAGTGTCTTTGGACATTTCTAAAGCCTTTGACAGGGTCTGGCACGCAAGCCTTTTAAGCAAGCTTCCCTCTTATGGGCTTCCCACTGACCTTTGCAATTGGATCTCGGATTTCTTGAGCGAACGTTCGATTCGAGTGGTCTTAGAAGGCTACTCTTCCGAACATATGGCGATAGATGCCGGAGTTCCTCAGGGTTCCGTACTGTCTGCAACTCTCTTTCTGCTGCATATCAATGATATGTTAATTCCAGGTACCTTTGCGTATGCTGATGACAGCACAGTTGTAGATAGGTACTTGACCAATGCAAGGGTCAGTGGAGAGGAAATCCAGTCTTGTCGAGAGTCCATGGTTAGCCGTTTAGATTTGACACTCCAGGCAGTCTCCGATTGGGGCAATGCCAATCTTGTCAAATTTAACGCTACCAAAACGCAGGCGTGTCTATTCTCCACAAAACGGAGTCCCTTTGAGCTGACTCCGACTTTTCGTGATATATCCATACCGATAGCCGATTGTCTCCAGCTACTTGGAATGGACCTGTCGTCCAATTTGAACTTCGGCAGATACATTGAATCCACGGCCAAAAATGCAGCAAGGAAGCTTGGGATCCTTTCCAGGGTGAGGCGGTACTTTACACCGGGACAGTTGCTCCAGCTGTACCAAGCACAAGTCCGATCGTGCATGGAGTACTGCTGCCACCTTTGGGATGGCTCTGCGACATATCAACTGGCCACTTTGGATTCAATTGACAACCGTGCCAAGAGACTTATAGGTGACTCGGAATTAGTGGAGGCGAAGCTGCAGAGCCTTGAACACCGCCGTAAAGTTGCCTGCTTATCGGTATTTTACAGGATATATCACGGAGAGTGTGCGATGGAATTACATGATTTAATTCCGCCTTCCCCTTTCCATCACCGGGGGACTAGGCGTAGGCTTGGGTTCCACCCCTATGTTGTGGATATTCCAAAGATTCGCACGAAGCGTTACGCTTCCACATTTATATGGCGAACGGCTATGGAGTGGAATTCCCTGCCTGCAGACTTGTTCCCTGAACGTTATAACTTGGACCTTTTCAAGGCGAGAGTGAATAGGCATTATTTAGGTGTGCATGCTCCATCGTCGACCTCATCGTCACTTTCCATCAGGTGAGATGGAGGTCAAATGCGCACCTAAATAATGCCTATTCACTCTCGCCTTGAAAAAAAAAAGGTATTCACAAGATTTGGCTTGCCATGGTCAAAATTAAAGGGAGTATGCACTGATGGTGCACCTTCTATGGTCGGCTTACGTAAAGGTTTCATCGGAATTTTAAATGAAAAAGCAACAGCATTAAATGTGCAAAAAGATGATTTGATAGTCCTTCAATGCATTATCCACCAACAGAACTTGTGTTCTAAGTCCATTCGACTCCAGCATGTTATGGATGTGGTAGTAAAAACCATCAATTTTATTCGATCTCGAGGGCTTAACCATCGTCAGTTCAAGGGGTTCTTGGATGAAATATCCGCTGAATATAACGACGTAACATATTATTGTGAAGTCAGATGGCTGACCAAAGGAAAAATGTTGAAACGGTTTTACGAGCTTAGAAATGAGATAGCAGACTTTATGAAAATAAAAGATAAACCACTATCTGAATTGAGTGACCCAAAATGGATATGTGACTTAGCATTTCTGGTCGATCTAACAGGCTATTTGAATGATTTAAATTTGAAACTACAAAAACAAGGACAGCTAGTAAATGATTTGTACAGCCATTTGAAAGCATTTCAGGTCAAACTGCGCTTGTGGGAGTCACAGATGCTATCTGGTAATAGTTACCATTTCAACACGCTCTCTACGTATGAAAATATTGCTTATGCTCAATATGCTGAAGAACTCAAGTTACTGTCGGAACATTTTTCGAACAGATTTAGCGATTTCAAAAACATGGAAGACTGTTTCAGTTTATTTGCAAATCCAACAAAAAGTAATGTACAAAATGCTCCAATACACTTACAAATGGAGTTGATCGAAATTCAAGAAAACTCACTCCTAAAATCTAAATTTGAAGAAGTAGAGTTGTGCGATTTCTACAAAAAATACCTAGAAGAAGACAATTTTCCGCAGCTTAGAAAATTCGCAAGAAGATTGATTTGTGCTTTTGGCAGTACTTATAAATGCGAACAGTTCTTTTCGATGATGAAAATTAATAAATCAACACATCGTACAAGACTGACTGACGATAATTTGGAAAATTCTTTACGTGTTTGTATCAGTGGAATTAATCCAAATATCGATGGATTAGTTTCCCAAATTCAAGCTCAAGTGTCTCATTGATTGACTTTCGTAGTTTGTAGCAATTGCAAATTTATCGATTTACCGATATGATGTACCATTTTTTAAAATTTCTTTTTTTAAATAAATTGTACTAGTACTAGAATAACATTGTGATATTATTTTATGTCTGACATCTATTGACACTAATTACTTTAAAATGCACTAAGCACTTTTAAACGCGGCCCGCGAACCTATTTGCATACTAAAGTTTGGCCCTCAACATGTTAAAGGTTGCCCATACCTGATGTAGCATAACATTGGAATTGAGTTTGTAACGAAAACACGATTTTTCTGAATAATAAATATTTTGGGGTAAGAACACTGCCTAATTTTTATCTAAAATTTTAGATAAAAATGTGAACCAGGACTATACGGTTACACCTATTGGGACATTTTATAACAATAATAAATTTAAACATCTGCAAATGAAACAAGTTGGACTATTTATTGAGTAAACGTAACCAATGTTAGTCGATAGCCGATACAATATTTTGCAATCACTAGCTGTTAGTAACGCTTTTACGCAATGAATTGTCGTATTATTGCGTTTTGAAGAAAGAAAAACAGAGTATACGTAATTTAATAGTATTCAAAGGAACAATACTAATACAAGACAATTAACTACATTGTCATATAAATTAATATAGTCACTTACCACGGGTTCCTGCACCCGCTCGGCTAGATGTTTGCGGAAACCGCAAAAGCGACGCGTGTAGCCGCTTGCCAAGCTAACGCCGCTGTGCACGGAAGATGAAGAAGACGAAAACACCGACCCTGCAAGAGTCAATAAGCCATTCAGCTTTGCTATACCTACTTGTGACGTGTATGGTAACCTCCTTCATTGTCATCCCACCTTTTTATCACCCAGTTACTGGTTCCTGGCCACTTACTTTTAAAACTTTGAATCGTTCTCGGAATCCCTTTTCCTTCACTATTTTAACGTTGGTTCGTTCCGTCGTCACTCCCATCAAAATTCTCAAAACGAGAGGACGTGCAATATCAACACCCTCATTTATTGCGACTGTTGTTGTGTGCGAGTTTAGAAACTTTACGTCGTTTAATATCAAATTATATAGATATAACCTATAATATAGGTAGGCCCTTTAGGGTGAGCATTGTGTTTAGTCTGTGTGAGGAGTGTTTTGTAATAATTGTACCTTTTCCTTATATAATTTTATTTCTTACAGCCTTTTCATTTTCCTCTTTTTAAAATAATTATGTGGACCAAGCTTTCTGCATTACCATTTTCTTAAGGCTAGGCTACGTACTTACATTATGCAGAGAGCAAGGTTAAGCCAAAAATCACAAGACTCCACTTTCTACGCTATCAGCTGCTTTGTTTCCTCCTATGGCACTATTCCTTTCCCAGATCTTTTTGGCGTTCCGTGAAAACTATTTCTTTTAATAGTTTCGTAATCGTACCGTTTTACGTGGGATTTAACCCTATCACGAATTTCCATTAATTGTCATTATTTTAAGGAGCATAATTTGAAAAGCACTTACTCTCGAGCTCCAATCCTACAGCGCTCTGTTTACCGCCAGGAGAAGTCTCGTTCAATATTCTGAAATAGCATAAAGTTGAGAATTGTAACTATTTTACGCTAACCATAAAATGAAGTAAATGACGAACATAAAGCCGTGACACGGCCATAGCTGATCAGAATGGTAGCAAAATATTACTCCCATGTGAAAGCTATACTCGTTCGGAGTTAATTCAAATGAAATGTTAGCATAGAACGCTACCTCTATTATCAAACTATGGGAATAATCCACGTTAATCTGTGTTACTTACTTGTTTTATTGAACAACGCGCTAAAAAAAATTTTTAAAAACCAGTCGAATTGAGAACCTCTTTTTTGAAAAATATTAAAGAGGAATTAAATGACATCCACGGCCATTTACATATTATAAACTTACTTCCAGGCTATTGATCAGCGCCATCTAGACTAGAGAATTTTGACCTTTTTCAGAGCTACAATCTGTAGTATGGAGATTAACGGTGCTCTTAAGTTATTGGTTCATGATGATATCAAGTGATGGGATGAGCAAGTCATAAGCATGGTGGTAAGCGACACCCCTATCCATAAATGCAGTGCCGCACAGAGCTTAGACAGCCTGAGAGACAAGACCCATGTGCCTATAATTTCACGACCACCCTTACGATTCTGGAACGCAGTAATAATGGTCACATTACTTGACGACAGTAATACTTACATGGGCGAAGTTTGTTTCCTTTAATAGTTCGAAGTAGAGCCTACTAAAGCTGCTAATTAAGGCGAATCACCGGTAAGCGGGAAAAACTGTTTTGCTAGATCAAATGGTTTACGTATTTACTATTAAATAACGGTCTTACAAAAAATATATGATACACTTAATGACATTGTCTAAAGAATGTGCTAATCTGTATACGATAGGATGTACATCGCCCGATCATATCAAATCCTGAAAACAGGCTAAAATAAAAGTCTAAAACGAATTATTTAATAATAAAATATCTAACTATATAATGACATAATTTTTATATGGAGGTATTTCCCTTTAAGTACTACAGAAAACCTGCTAAATTTTGATTTTCAACTGAAGCCCTGTAGTTATTAAATTCATTTATTCCAAGATATGAAAATTGCCCAGCGGTTTAACCACGCGCCGCGCCGCCCGCTACCCAGTCAGTCGCCATCGAGCGCTTGCTGATGTCAGACCTGTGTCAAATTTCCTCCGCCTGTCTTATTTTGTTTATATTAATTGACAGCGCGCGGGTTGCGGAACGTGTGGGGCGGTACACACCTCACTTCCTAAAATTTAGGCTCGTGTTGATAAACCTCGCCTTAATATTGTATATGTTTGGCCAAAAAGTCTGTTGATGTTACAACAACAAACCTGTCAATAAACAACTCCAGGCGGCGTTGTGATTTCGGTATGTATCGCTTCAGATCAACGGAGGTGAGAAGCGACGCGAAGTGATGAAGTGGCTCCTCAGCTTTGCAGCACGCGTCATAAATGGCGTGCAGAGAACTATGTGCGGCTTCCGTGTAATCGCGGATCCACATGCACAACTGTAAATTAGAATAACTGTCAGAGTCATCACAATTTGGATGGATTATTCCGAGTGAACTATAATAGTTCTTGTTATGGAACTCGAATACTTCGCGAGTTATAACCCATTTATCTGTTGTATTATTATTAAATTGTATGCCATAAAATTGGCAATACGTACTGACATAATATTATATAAGAACTTCTAGCCGTGCGTACACAACAAATTATTTGATTTTATTTATTGGCATAATTTGACAAGTCCCATACCAGCACCCTTACTTCCTTCACCCACCTTCCAAAACCGAAACACAACGCTTTGTCGGCAGAATTAGGTAAGGTAGAGTTCCTTGGACGAAGTCTTTCACAAGGAGCTCTACTGCTACTACAATGGTACAGAAATGGTCCTATTACGATTGTAGATTCCCAGCTTATTTTTTATACCTGAAACATGCGCCAGTCTTCATAACCTTCAATAAGCTTCTTAGCGCGCTTTGCGTTATGTTTTACGATGTCCTTGGCATTGGCAAGCCGCATCTCTTGACGTGAAAGGCGCTCTTTGGCCGCTTCCAAATCGCCGTCTGCTTCTGACCTGTAAAGTTAAAACCATTAAAAACTAAATGCGCAAGTATGGTGCCTTTAGCGTCACAGTTGTCGACATCGTCACTATCATATATCGTCACACACGTCGTAATGCATCTTTTATCTAATTTCGGGAATTTGTATTTTAAGCTTTCACGTGTCATTAAGACAAACCCTAAGATATCAATAAGGTTTTTGGTAAAAAAATTAAAACTTTTAATATTTTTGTGGATGGTAACACAGCTACGTGTTGTGCGAGGTACTCATTAGCGAGCTGTAACTGTAACGTAAAATATACAGTAACGAGGTTCTAGTATGTACGCGTGAAACAGTCTTCACTCGCTAGAATGAGTATTTGGTTGTCGTCGGGTCGCTGCGAACCGAACATCATCGTGGTTCGCGACGTACAAACTATGATTTTTGGTAACACAACATGCAACGATTACGGTTACAGCTCACTATAGTCTATTCAAGTTAGCGACCTAGTACTGAGAAACGCACGTGATTGGTTACAGATAAGTCACTAAAACCGCATTTATAATGGTAAGCTAATTAGTCGGATTTCACATCTGTGCGGTGCGGACGTGTGTTGTGTTTTTTCTCTGTTTGCTACTTATTCGTGATTCTTTACCTGCGACTTTGGCTTACTGTGACTCGGCTTAAGATATTGACTGACATAAAATGTGATATTGTTGAAAAAAATGTAAATGGAAATGTATAAACAAAAATATTTTTCTTTTATTTTTAAAAACCTTTATGCACGAGCTCTTGTTATTTTAACGCTTGTTAACGCCCACTTAACCTTGTGCCTCCATATTATGTCCTTGTAATTTTTATGAAGTAGTGCTAAAGAGAGGAACCTATACTAGGTCGCTAACTTGGACTATAGTGAGTACACGGCACACAGTAGTGAGACACCGTATGGCTCTTGGACGCTACAATACCAAAATCATTAAAATCGTTAGGGACACTGTGTATCTCTAGGACGCGTGACAGATTAACTATAACTCTGCTGTACAACTTTGCCATTTTTATGAACATAAAAGTCACTCCGCCACCCACAATCATCTGTGTCGACTACGCGCAGATGACGTGCGTTCGTGAAACGCGTTTTTGGTGTCACTGAATTTGTAAACGCGTGTGCAAAGGTTTACTGGTTGCGACTGAACCTCGTTTGAATCGCGTTAACGCGCGGCACACGCGCGTGTGTGCACAGGCTCTTAATCCTAAAATTTGAGGAGCACAGATTGTCACACCTGGACGCGAAACGTGATGCTCTCAAGGCTAACACCTGCAGCCGTCTTTTACTACATTGTCGACGCTGTCCTTGCGTGCCATCATTGTTTGCGAACATTTACCAATAAGATTGCTACTGTAGGCATCTAAAGGTACATGAAACAGCAAACAAGTAAGTCTAATGGCAGTCACTGTAGCCGAAACCGGCTAGGATGATGATAACGGTATGATAATCCTATGTAACACCGGATATGCCTTAATCAGATAATAATATAATAAGAACGCGCACACACTCATAGCCCTGCACTAGGGAAACCCTGTCTCGCGGGTACATTGGACACACAAATAGACAACCCACAAATTACACCCAAACTCACGAGAGAAATAAATATTGGCCATACAAACATTTCTCCCGGCCCGGGAATCGAACCCGGGGCCTCTACGTGGCAGTTAAAGTCTACGGTCCCGTTCCACAGAGGCAGTTAAAGTTAGTAGATAGGAATTTAATGTTACTCACTCCCTAGCAGCCAGCTGTTTGCACTTTTCATTAAGAGAGGCGAGGCGGCTAGCGCGGACGTTGACCCTCTCCTCTAAATCCGCGATATCAGCTCGAAGCGCCTTAAGCTCATCTCTCTTCTCGTAGTACTCCTTCGTTAGTGCGTATACCTCTTGCATTTCCTCCGCTACAAATGGTATTCAATTGGTACTACATACTCGTACACATTCTGTACTCAAAAAAGTGATTATTCACCTAGGTACAGGTTTCTTACTAAGGTATGACTTAAAAATCATATAACATATTATCATCATCATCACCAACCCTTTTATACGTCCCACTGCTGAGCACGGGTCTCCTTTCAGAGAATGGTTTAGGCCATAGTCCGCCACGCTGCATGGCCCAATGCGGGTTGGGAATTTCACACGTTTTTCGAGGGCTGTCTGCCTTCTTCGACGTGCAGGTTTCATCACAATGTTTGCTTTCACCGAAAAGCTCGTGATAAATTTAAAATTAAATTTCGCACATAAATTCCGAAAAACTCAAGAGGTTCGAATTCACGACCCTCTGCTTGAGAGGCAGTAGGTCAAACCATTAGGCTACCACGGCTTCATATTATATCATATCATATCATATCGTATCATATCATATCATATCATATCTCATATCATATCATATATCATATATAACGCACACACTCAACTTAGCCCCGCACTAGGGAAACCCTGTGTCGCGGGTGCCAAGGACACACACTTTGACAACCACATATTACACCCAAATTGACGAGAGAAATAAATGTAGGCCATGCAAATATTTCTCCCGGCCCGGGAATCGAACTTGGGACCTCTGCGTGGCAGTCCGACATGGAAACCGTTCGGCCACGTAGGCAGTTAATCGGGAGCCGATTGAAAGTCATGCCGTGACAAGTGTAGCTATATAATGCACATCAGCAGCTTCACATAGTGTGGCTTTAACTCTGATAAATAGATCTCGAATACGGCCATGGAACGAGCCCATCTTCATTTAACAGAATTTGATCAAGAGTGTGCTTTATGTCATCTATAGCACAAATGTGTAGATAGAACGAGATGCGCCAGATTGATCTAAAAAATTATACTGGCCACTACCATGACGTTTTCGCGGTTTTTATGATTATTATTTTTAATTAGTGACATTCTTTTGTTTATTATGTTTCGCTTTGCATGGATAACAGGAGAAAAAAGCAAAATGAATAATTCATTTTTTAAACAACCCTTTTCCTTGACAAATAAAACAAGTGTATTTCCATTGCAGGGATGTTTTAAAAAAGTAGCCATGATCGTCTTTTTTGTGTGCCTTTTTCCAGCGTGACCATAGTCGAGTTTTGGAAATTATGTACGATTTTTATATGTAAATGTATCAATGAAAATAATTGAATATCCAATATCTTCAAAGTAATCAGATCTTAGCTAGGTGTCATGGTTCTCGAGATTGAGAAATGGTGTCACTGGAATAAGCTTATTCCAGCGTGGACAGTAAAACACCCTTATAACTTTTGAACGGCGGACCGACTAAATCTAGTTTTTTGCAACTAGAGCCGACTAGTTACTTCCTTCTGGCCTGTCAAATTTCCAAAACTAGACTATGGTGACGCTGGAATAGGGCACACCTTTTATCTCATACTTAGGAAGATTACTTAGTAGCAGTAAAGGCTCCTTATGAAAGAGTTCGTCTAGTAGGGCTAGCTTGTACTGCCACCTTAACTATTTCTTCCACCAAGTGGTAACGTGAGTTCTGATTTTGAAAGTTAAGGGTGCTGGTGAAATTACATGCACATGGAACTTTTCAACATACGTCTCAGGGTGACGGGTGCATTGGCAGTGCCCCTCAAATCTTTACGATTTGAAGCTCTGAGTGGAGCTGCAACTGCTATGGACAGGCGTGTGACTTGCCACGACGCGCAAGACTATTACGCCCGTCACTTGGTTCTATAAAAAATGATGTAACGTACATTCGTCGTTCAGTGGCGAGATGTGGTGCATGAAGTGGTGGTGCGCCGCAGCGACCACGCGCATGGTGGCCTCAAGCGCCGAGACGTCGGCTTCTGTATGCGCGATCTCTGCATCCAGCTGCGCGCCGCGCTCGCGCAATTCTGCGCGTTCCGCTGCGAACTGAGTCAGAGACAATCAAACCTCGCGAATTAAATTGCGATTTAGCGATTTATTTGCTTTGGTAAGTTCTTAGGTTTTTGCGATGGTTGCACATTGGAACTGAAACTATTTTTAACCGACTTCAAAAAAGGAGGAGGTTCGCAATTCGACTGTATGTATGTTACTCGATAACTTCCGGCATTTATGAACCAACTTTGATCATACTTTTTTTTTTGGGAAAGATGGTACTGTAGTCTAGGCTCTACTCTATGAGTAGAATCACTGGCTGAATGAATAGTTTTGTATTTAGAATGTTTTGAAAATGAAG